AATAATAATAATAATAATAATAATAATAATAATAATAATAATAATAATAATAATCATCATAATAATCATCATAATAATCTTTATTTATATAGCACCTTTCACATATAAAATGCAGCCTGAAGTGCTTTACATTGAAAATAAAAATAAGAAAAAAAGCAACAAAACAGGGTAAGCAATTAGGGAGCAAATACGTGCAAGGAGATGGTATAAAGGAACAAAGTATACAAATTAGAATAAATAATATGATGATTATATAAAAAAGCAAAAACAAAACATAATATTAGAATAAAAAATTTATGCATAAAACACAATTATATAAAAAGAGTATCTATCCATCCATCCATCCATCCATCCATTTTTCTGAAACTGCTTATCCTGTTCAGGGATATTAAAACCCAAGGTAAAGAAGTACGTTTTTAAAAGCTTTTTTGGTGACGGCATAATTAAACTGGTATTGTTGCTGAAAAGCGTGTGAACTAACATGGCCGCTCTTCTGGTGAAGAAAAACGAGGTTCTGCTGCTGCTGGGGCAGATCGACAGCGACACGTTCGAGTGCCAGGTGGGGGACAGCAAGGGCCGGGTACAGAAAGCCTGCATGAAGATCATCACTCCTCTGTTTGATGCCTCTGACTATGAGCAGGAGGTAAGGTTACAAGCTCCAGGCACTTCGCCTCGCTTCCTCCTCCCTGTTGTCCGATCCAGTTTCTTACTTTGTAACCACAATGCAGTGACGCATCAACCACTCGTTTAACTGTTTAGCATCAAGGTTACTGCAAACGGCAGTGCTTCCCAACCTGGTCGTCGGAGGACCCACAGACGGTCCACATTTTTGCTCCCTCCCAGACAGCCCACATTTTTGCTCCCTCCAAGCTGGGAGGGAGCAAAAAATGTCGACTGTCTGCGGGTCCCCGAGAAGCACATTGGGAAACACTGGCATACGGTAATTGCTGTAAATGCCAAACCATGTATCTCAGCCAAAAGATCCTCAAACATTTGTTAAAGACATTCCCTGTCTCTGTCTCCAGGCACTTGGCAGAGGTCAAACATATAAGGGTGGATCTGGATTACAGGTGCAGGCGCTGCATGATTTTACCGCAGGTAAGTGACCTTACAGATGCAACCCTCAGTAATGCTAATGAACATAGGGTGTTTTGAAACTGTAATTTTCACATTTGTGGTTAATGAGCATTAAACTATGGCGATGTGTCTCAGCCCAGTCCCAGGGGACCCCCAGACAATCCACATTTTCACTCCCTCCCAGCTCCCAACACACCTGAAAGAGGTATTCGGTGTTCTTAATTGGCTGGGAACTGGGAGGGAGCAAAAATGTCAGGTGTCCCCCAAGGACTGGATTGAGAAACTCTGAACTATGGGGAATTAGTAGAAGCCCTCATCTGGGACTGGTTGGCTCAGAAATGGACAGACATCTAGAAGTCCGGGCTCAGATAAATTTAGGATCTTTTCAACTGGCTCTCCAGGTGTTCTCAGCTACCGCCCCCTAGAGGCAGTGAGAGAAATGGAAATGACTGTTATGTTTGGTCTCTAGAGAGTGCTGAGGAACTGAGCCTACGGACAGGCGACATTGTATCCATGGTGGAGCAGGTGGACAGTGACTGGTACCGTGGTATCTGTAGGGGGCAGTCTGGCTTCTTCCCAGTCAACTATGTGAAAGTTCTGGTAAGAGCTACTGGGGCAGAGCTTTTAAGAGACAGACTCAATACCAGTATCCAAATAGATTTTTTCTGTGATTTTTAGCATATTTCGTATTTTTTTTCAGTCTAATGTTCCCGTGCCATCAAAAGGGAAGACAGTGCGGTCACCAGCGCCTGCTGTGAGGTGAGCTTCCTGCCGGGGGGGTGATCGTCTATCTCCGAGCACATAGAAACACACCACGGCACTCATCTCAGGGTCGAGAACAAGGGCAAGCGTCACACATTCAGACCTTGACTGGCCAAGACTGGATTCAAGTCACAAAATAATGGCCGCCGTCACGTTTAGCATCTTCCGAATGACGTTCAGTGACTTGCACAGCATTGTGGCAACAGCAGTCTGCGGAGTGACAGCAATGTACAGTTGACATCAATCCCATCATGCATCGGGATGCTCGTGGTGATGGGAGTGCGTTTCATGTCCCCCTTCCTCCTACAGTGGGCCAAGGTGCGTGGCCCGTTTCGACTTCGAAGGGGAGCAGAGCGACGAGCTGAGCTTCTCCAAGGGGGACGTGATCCGGCTGAGAGAGTATGCGGGGCAGGAGTGGGTCCGGGGTGAGCTCAGGGGCCGCACAGGCATGTTCCCCCTCAATTTTGTGGAAATCGTGGAGGACCTGCCCTCATCCCCGGCCCAGCCATCCCCTCAGACGAAGATGAAGCTCCCTGGTAAGACGGCATCCATAGAAACTGCTCCTGTACAGCCAGGGACTAAAAACAACCACGAAACAGCCTGTTAATCCTAATCCAAATGACCATCCCATCTAGGCACCAGTCTATTTCTATGCTTGCAAATGTGCCTTGATTGATTAGCCGATTCAATAAACATCATAATCAAACCACATTCAGCCTGAAGCATAAATGGGGTATAATTATTTAACTTTGTTAAATTAAATGGAGGTTAATCGGGGAACAATTCCTATCATTTCGAAAAAAGAACTCCCATTATTGAAATCGTGCCCCTTGATATGAACAGTAATGATTATTTCAATTAATTAGTGGTTACTCTGTTGAAAACTGTTTTATGTTGTTAATTCATTCTCTTCCTTTTATCTTTTGCCCTAAATTAGCATAAAACCATTATTTGGATTAGTCAGGCCCTTGCCAGATTGCTCAAGTGCAAATACATAAAATATATAATATTTTACAACATTTTTACATTACGTTGTTAAGGGTTAAGCAAAGTTTAAATAACAACTCAGCTGGCACAGAATTAAACCAGCCAGTGTTCAGGAACGGGATAATGATACATTATTATGCAGCAAAGGCATTGTTATGATTAATTGTTTACTACTCTCATATTTCCTATTGTCTCAATGGATTTTACTTTAGATCATAATAAAATGTTGGACCTTGGCTTCACTCTAACAGCTTATTTATTATATAAAATAATTACCGTTTTGTGAAGATGGAGAATCTTAGGTTCACTGCAATAGCAGGGCCTTTTTTGGAACCTTCCAGCTGTGGGTCCACACTCCACAGTCTGAATTGTTTGGTTCCAAAGTCTCACATTTCAAGTATGCTGCCCCCAGTGGTGTGGTGGATATATGACCACAAAACACAGGTTGTAAATAACACTGTCTCTTCCCTCAACCCCTCAGGCATGGATTCTTCATCTAAGAGCCAAGGGAAGCCCACTAAGGTACACTTAAAGTCATCTCTGCCATTACAGAAACTCACAGAGAGAGAGAATCCCAACATATCCATGGCCACCCATTATATTCGTTACAGATTGGGTGTCGTTATGGATCTCGGCGTAGATAGGGTGACCACCTAATCCATGTAAGGGGAGACATTACGAGCTACTTCAGCTTTTGCAAACTGCTTTAAAGCTGAAAGGCTCCTGTGTTTGGCTAAATAGTTCAGCTCTTCTTGTCCTTTGACTGCTTTGTTTCCTTGATTGAAAGACTCATCCAGCTGTTTCACATTAACATTAGTGACACATGCATGATTATAGGAGGCTGACCAATCAGCACACAGCAAGAACTAAGTGAAATCCAGGTCTTTTTAATTGAAATTGTAGCTTACAAACCTTGTCCCGGCTCATAATGTAACCCCTGAGATAAATTAGGTGGTCACTGTAGGCGTAGTATTTTCGTTTTTACTGTATTCTATGACAGTTAAATATAATGCCTAAAATACTTTAGAAATAGTGAACTCGATATGTAAAATTGAGCTGTAACCCAGGCGAAGCACAGCATGTAATATTACTGAAAAACCAACATCGAGTTTGTTGACTGGTTTTATTTTGAGGGTCTTGGTGTTGCAGGTGAGTGTGGGGGGGGGGCTATAGCAGGGTGCCTGTGCCTGAATGTTGGGTTCTGTGTAAAACCACCTCAGCCGGAGCCTGCGGGGGGCCAGTGGGCGGTGGCCCGGCACGACTTCACGGCCGAGACGGAGCAGGAGCTCTCCCTCCGGCAGGGAGACCGCGTCCTGGTCACGGAGCACGTGGACGCCGACTGGTGCTCCGGCAGGCTCCGCGGCAAGGACGGCATCTTCCCCGTGGCATTTGTGGAGTTCTGCACAGGTGAGTGACCCCCCCACCCCCAGATGGAAAAGGGCAGGGATGAGCAGTGCCTTTGTCACGGCTGCGTGACGTGAGTCAAGGAAAATCAAATCAAAGTTTATTTATCAAATGCACAACAATCTAGCATACGGCAGAAGACACAGCCATTGAACACTGTCCCTGACAACTATTATGTTAAAATAAAGTAAATAAATAAAATAGCAAAAATAGAAATGCAGAAATGTGTACGAAAGCAGCTTGTTTTCTCAAAATAAATTTTCTCATTATCTTGCGATAACAGACATGCTGTCATATCACTGTACACAGCTTTCGTAAACGTGCAATATGTTCTTGCCTCTTCTTTCCAGGCCCTTCTGTCGAGATGGAGGGATCCCCTGGAATGAGACGAGCTCAAGCCTTGTATGACTTCACCTCTGAGAATAACGATGAGCTCTCTATGACGGTCGGTCCCTTCAGTCAAATCAGATCTGTTGTATCATGTACACTCTTAGAAAAAAACTGTACCTTTGCTTATCACTGGGGCTATACCCTGGAGGGTCTGGCAACTGTACCCTTAGCTGTAGGTAATTGTACCTTTTAAGGTACAGAAATGGACTCTGAGGAATACTTCTGTACCATTGATGGTACATTAATGCTGTTTGTACCTTGGGATGTTCCTCAGAGTCCATTTTTGTACCTTAAAATGGGTACAGGGAAAAGTACAAAATTTTACCCTTTTTTCTGAGAGTGTAGAAGGTAACAATCGTTGTTGTTAGAATTTAGCTATGCGCTGATACGCAAGTACACATCTACTGTATAAAACGATACGCACGGCAATTTCGTGTCGTAGTGGCACAGATGCGTATTTATTTTATGTGTATTTGTGCTGTTATGACAAGAAACCACTGTGCATTTTAGCCTTTATACCACAAATTAGCCACATAAAACATTTAAATTCACGGTAATGTCTTGTCATAACGCGCGAATGCACATAAAATACGCATTTGTGCCACTACGACAAAAGATTGTCACGCGTATCGTTTTATATGGCAAATGCGTACTTGCGTACCAGTTTTGTGCATCCCTGCGCCATGCTCCGTACATTACAGGTTAAATGTCTCGTTTAAATGTACAATGGCTGAACTGGTAGCTGTCAGGTTAAAAATTAGCCTCAACACCAAGAACATCTGCTGTTACCGCACGATGACCGAATTAACACTACAGGCTCTAAATGAACACCGGCTGCTGATGTTCACAGCTGTGACGATCCGCCAGCCGTAGAACTCATTTGATGGCTTTGGTTTGCCATCCTGTTTCTGCCCCCTGCAGGTCGGCGACATCATCACAGGCGTGGAGTCCGTGGATGAGGAATGGTTTGTCGGGGAGCTAAGGGGCAGACGGGGTCTGGTGCCAAAGAATTACATCCAGCTGCTGCAGGAAGGCTGAACGTGCGATTATGGCCAAAGGAACACAGACACTGGGAATAGTTTTTTTTTTGACCTGGAGCTCTTGGGGAAGACTCTGACGGTGCGGCGTGAGACTGTGGGGCTGCACCTCAACGTCCAACCCACTGAAGTGCCTTCTACGACATCGCAGTATTTCCCATGCATAACGGACCCCCCCCCGGCACCCTCATTCACACAGGCAGCAGTGCCGTGTGCATAAAGACAAATGCCAAATGAATCAGTTTAGAACAAGTATCTATTACAATGTGGGGGTGTGCCCCCCCCATAATGGACACACCCACCCAATGGGACACTTATTTTTTGTGTGATGCTGTAAACTGCCATTAAGCATCCCTTTTATTTTCAAGACATAGCTTCATTAATGACCAGCCACTATTAGCAGTACATGTAAGGCAAAGTGCCACTGAACTGATATGACAGCGCCCCCCTATGGCTAGTGTTGTGAACAATCTGACAGTATTCCTGTTACTGAGTACTGAGCCCATTTACCATACGCCATGTTTCTCAAGGCTGATTGTTTTCACTACATCTTGTTTTAAACGTTAATTCTTTTCTTCTCGGGATATATGCAATATTTAAATGTCAAAATTGCAGAAAGACAGCCTGACTTGTGATTTCTGACACTGTTCTTAGTTCAGGAATTGAAATAAGGTGTTTTATGCTGGTTCTCTATGCTTTAAAGTAAATGTCAAATGTATTTCTGTTTAACACTGCTCTGTTTGAAATTACAAACTAGTAGTCAAGTGTAAGTGTTAATTCAGTGGTGTAGTTTATTTTAGGATCGGTTCAGTCAACTCTGCCACTAGGGGGCACAGTACAAGGAGTGACCATAAAACGTGACAGGCCATTAAGACACACTGTAGAAGCTTCTATGTGCAATTCAGGACTGTTCTGTAATATATGCAAATGGAAATGCTTTACTTTAACAAAAGGATTTTGATCTGCAAAAGGCCAGGGCTGCATTCCCCAAATTCAAATGGGAGCAAGTGGGTAGAGCATTCTGTTTGCTCGCATCCTGCTATTCTCCGGAATTCTCGAGTAGCAACGTCGCCAAACCATAAACCAATTTTAACCATAGCTAAGCCCAGAAGTTCGCTCTGCTGTGTATTCAAAACCAGCTTTGTGGACAAGAACTCCATGGAACAAGGTAGCGTTCAATCAAAAAAAATCCATTATTTTATTAAACGTTGTTGGTGTTGAGGGTCTTCAGACGGACTCCTGGACTGGGGGCTCATAGCCGTCAGCCCTCTCCACCTTGGCACCGGTGTCGTCACCCCCGGTCTTGGTGGTAGTGCTGCTGCCACCCTCCCCGTGGATCTCCATCAACTTGCCCACTGAAACCAGACGCCCAGAATCAGCGTGCCATGCCATCGTGACAGCCTCTAACCCAGCGATGTGAACATAGAATAAAAATGCGATGGTGCATTTCCAAAGTTCAGACCACCAACGGCTGCTGAACTGCTTGGAGGTTGAGGGATGTGTAACAGCAGTTCAGCATACAAACATTTTCAGGGACTTAAAGAGAAACTCATTAAAAATGTATGCAACCCAACCACCAGAAAATGTCCTGAAGCTGTCAGAAACATTTCACCAAAATTCTTAGGCTATTTTTTTTTATCCTTACTGTAACTCCGGAGTTCACTGCATATTCTGCTTGTAACTTACATTCAAATTTGGGTTTCTTGAGCATCTTGACCTTCCTGACGAAGACATCGTGCAGAGGGTATATAGACTGGCAGGCCTTTTCAATGTCTTTGCCAATGCTGTCAGGGATCCTGCAAGACCAAACAAGGCTTCAAAGCTGGGAAAACCAATGAACACGTGGCCCATGTGAGTATATCTGATGAAGGCCGCCTTTCCGCAAAACAGATCATAGCTGCCTGAATCGAGGATATTAGCCGATTCCTCGTGACGTTCCACCTAGGACTCAAAATCCCAACAACAGGTCACTCAAAGGTAAGGGACTTACAGTTTGTTGACGACTTCCTTCAGGTCGTTGGTCTGCACCTCTCGAGTCATGATCTCCACCATCTTCTTGCGGATCTGACGGACCTGCTGGTGCTGGGCATATGAGGTCTTCCTGATCTGGTTGGTGCGTTTCTTGGTGAAGCCAACGCAGAAAAGGCGGAGCAGGTAGCTGTCCGTGGTTCGTACGTCTACATGAGCCTCAATCATGGTCTATGTGACAACGAAACCGTATGAACTCATTAGACTCCAGTCTCAAAGCATCACAGATGGTCTCTGTCATGGATGTCTGTGACCTCTACAGAACAGCCATACTCACGGATGCTCCCACAGGTGCATTTGAAGCCTTACCTGCCATTTCTTGACCATGGAGCACATCTTGTCTCGAGTCAGATCCATTCCGTGGAAGTTGGTCAAACAGTTCTTGCCCTGCACATCCTCAGTGATCAGCTTGAACTTCCGGAAGGCTACCTCGTCGTTCTGCAGGTCAGCCAGACTCACTTCGAACACGCGCCCCTTCAAGCCATCCGAAGCGATTTCTGGAGATATGATGCACAAGTTACTTTACCCACTGTCTCCTTTGGGGAAGAATCAGTGAATATGTGGGATGTGAATCAATATTACCCATCTGTTTTCTAATAAAATAAAATAAAAAATGTTCATATGCAACAGAAGTGGGAGGAATGCCTCCAGGATGAAGGAGTCCGCTCAGCATTTGACAGGCAAATCGAAACACAATCATTCGAAATATACTCTCTAAGTTCAAAAACCAGCTTGCTGCAGAAGGAGAGCCAGCATAAGTGCAGCCCAAAGATCCAGTGTAGTAAAATTTCATTTCTAACTGACCTTCAAACACCCGAATCAAAAGCTGAAAGTGTGTTTGAGCTACCCACCAAACAGGAGGAGATGGTCACCATCCTATTCCTGCATCATATTCGCAGGTTTGCAATTCATCCAACAAAAGAAAAGCCCGATTCGGATAAAACTGTTTTAAGGCGGGTTTTGGTGAGAGAAACGGCACAGAAAATGTTCTAGCGTGGCCAGGTCACTTCATGGGCATGGATAGGCAAGCACCCCCCACCATATGAAAGAGACGGGAGACTCACTGGTTCCCTGTGTCCTGGTAACCAAGGTCTTGCCAAGGTTGCGGATGTTGAACATGGCTGGTGCCTTGACATCGTACCAGTCCTTCTTGGAGAAAGGATCAACGCTAGATGGAAAAGGTACAGGTTATTTTAACTTTAAAAAAATTACCAACCAAGAAACACCACAGAAAGACAGTCACTGTGTACTTATGTTTGCCATCATGTTAACTACGTTTAAGAAATTTCCAAATAAAGCACACTAGTCGGATTTAGTTAGTAATGTGGGATATTGATCTACAAGCCAAATGGCGAATTATAGTAATAGCCAATCTTTATTTGCAAATCAACTAGAACAAGTTAAAGTAATTACAGTCACTCAATGCATATTCAGATTAGCCACGTACATTATTTAATTTCTGAAGACCTGGGATGTTCATTGCTCCGCTGTGATCGTACATACAGAAGTGGTCCCGAGTTGTAAATCCAGGTGCATGCTATAAAGTGCAAATTAAATCCCAATATCTCGACAACTGGCTGCAGTCATTCGTGCAGGCTGCTAACGAGCTATTTGCACTACCGCAAGCATTTACCGGGCCGGTCCTACGTTGCCATTTCCCGCTACTGTTTGTAGCAACTGCAGCTAATCACAGAAGTGGATTAGCAAAGTTTATTGGCATTTCTCTAAACCTGATATTAAAATAAGCGTCGCTGACAGAGGTGTAACTTTTGTTATTGGATATTACGTGACTTGTACATTTATGTAAACATACTTATATTTATACTACCTATATTTAAATAAAATGAATACGACTGAGGACACAGTACCGTATCTGCACAGGGACGCGACACAGTAGCTAAAGTAATCCTTTTAACATCCACGTCATCCTTCATGGTTGTAAGCAGGAATCCGACAGGCAACATCCTGAGAACCTATAAAACGAATTCAACGCTAAATTGTACAACTTACATCTTCTTCTTAGCACCTTTCTTTCCTCCTTTAGTTAGCCTCTTATTTTTTCCGACTGCCATGTTGGACACACGGGGGAAGAGGAGGGGAAATATGTAGCATCGCGAGAACTGCGACCGGCAGCGTCCTGCTGCGTCTTCGGAAAGATGGCGCCACCTGCTGACGGTTTCTGATTTTGTAGTTCACAGAAGTGCGCTTGTGCTGCATTATCACGCTGAAATAAAACACAAACGCTAATGTTACATTGTTATAGGGTTGCTCTCTCACGCTTGTGGTCTGACACGCTTTCAGACTAACACGCAAGAAATCTTACGACAAATCTCTATTATTCAATCATAAACCTAAAATTAGCTACATCAAAGGATTTGGGGACAGTGTGCAAACCATATTATTTATAAGGTAATAAAACTCTTACATACATGTAAATGTGTGTACAGACTAGTCTCAAATTGAAAATCTCACTCCAAGTAGCTGACCAACGTCAGCAACGTTGTTATTAGACAGAGAAACTGGTATGTAAATCTAAAGACAAAGCATAATGTACTGTTTAGAGGTGTGCTCCAGGTTCATTAAAAGATGTGCTAGGTATTGTTTCTAAAGCACTTTTTTTAAAACTTAAGTTGGGAGTATGTATTTGTATTTGTTATATGTCCATTAACATACTGGAAAATAATAATATATACCCAACACGTTATGTAGGGCCACGTATTGGATATCACTGTTGTCTGACGCTTCTATGGTTATGTGGGTAGGTTTTGCATGTTCTGCCAGTGTCGCGCAGATTTTGTCCACGTACTCCCTCTCTTTCCTGTATAATACAAAGACATTTAGTAATACGAACTGGCGTATTCAAATTTTCCGGAATGTACGTTTGTATAGCTGCCCTGAGTTGGACGGGCATCACGTTCAGTGTGCAGCTCTGTCTTTGGCTCTGCACGTGCTGCCTGGGACAAATTCAGGGCCCCGACTAGGAAAAGCGATGAAGGATGTTCTGTTGCTGCTTAACTAATATGATCTATTGAAACTATCATTTGTTGTTTTAATGGAACACGTATACGTTGTCGTTAATTTGACATATATCAAGGTGAAAATGGAGGAAAATGATTTTTGCAAGCTATCGCTGCTGATTTTTTTACGAGGCCGAGATTCCCTGCCATGTCGAAAATTAGGTCTCCCGTCACTCAGCAAGCTGAATTGTTAAAAGCTGAAATCAGTCACTGAAGCAGGCTACGTCCTTTTACTGTAAACCTATTTGTATCGATTTTAACCTCCATACTAGGAAAAAAAGGATTCGATCAATTCACGGTATTTCACAGTCAACACAGCCTGAAACGATGGAAATCCGAGGCTTGTAATTTCCTGTAGTTCTTAATCTCCTAAACGTCATCTTCAGTTTGGGGATAAGAAAAATACTCGAAAAGCAATTATCTTTACTTTCCTCTTGTGACAATATCATATTGTTCATTTTTGCTTGAAATGGCACCACTGACACGGACTATTAAATTGGATTTTCAGAAGCTGACAGAAACTACTAAATATTACTACCGTTAATAATTAAAATTATGTCGGGCAGAAAAATGAGCAGTTAATTTATAAGTTACAAAACAAAAAATGCCGGAGTATCATCAGTGTTTTCTGTTTCCTACTTAGTGTTCAGTGGCAAAAGGTGTGAAGAGTGTATTAGATCTAGTACATGACCGGTGATTTCCGTTTCGTGGGCAACTGTCTGTCCGGTGGGTCTGCACAAGTAGTGTACTCACTGACAAAGGCCGGAGCAACCGTATCCAGGGCAATGAAGTCACCCGATGTGAAATTGTCCAAAGAGGTGAAAGATGCACATCTGCTTTTATGGAACAAGAAGAGAAATACAAACCTTACCAAACACAACTTTCTGATAAATCTAACTATTATCCACCTACATTGATATGCCATATTAAAATAATAATTTGTGGTTATTTGACATTTCATCAAGTTGTAGTTACAAATCCCTTAATCTGAAATGGGTCGCTGACATCAAGAGACTATAGCTGAGCATAACTGTCACGTCGTTTCAGTCTCCGAAATACTACACTGCCCAAGGTTGCGTGCAGCTGTTAGTATTTATTTTACTTTTTTGCAGCTGTTAGTATTACGCTGGGTGCACGCAACAATGTCACGTGATAATTAATATAGCATACACAAGTTACAGAGTAAGACAACTTGTCAAAGAATATTTGAAGATACTTAAAAAGTAGGCTACCGATTTTCAGATTAGCCACTGAGTAAGGGAGTGGTCGATGTCTGTTTATATAGTAGATACTACTGTTACTGTCTAGCACGTAATTAACGTAAAGATGTCTGCCAATATTCCAGTAGAAATACACCACCTGTACGTGCACACCAGCTGTGTTTGCTTCGCCGCTCTCTAAAACAATTGTGAATGAAATTTCTGTCTTCCCCTCCTCTAGATGTCTCTGGATTACGCTCGCTTGGATTAGGAGCGTGCAGTTTCCTGAACTGCACTTCCTCGCTGCCGAATGCATGGGACGCCATAAGCGCCGCTTGGGTCCATTGCACCGGCTGCCCTCCCGTCCCCGGCGGCTCCTACCTGGGACACACCTGGCCCACCTCCGCGCAGCCGTTCGCCGTGAGCTGCGCATGCGCCGCCGGCTCGAGCTACAACGCCGCCATGGCGGAGACGAGCAAGAGCGGGAGGTGAAGCAGGAAGAGGCACAGCCGAATGTGGATTAAGCTTCAGAATTGAACAGCACTGCATGCGCACGACAAGCTTCTCGGCCGGCTCCTGTCCTGTGACGCGAACCGTCATCGGAATAGTCTGGATATTTCTCGTGACGGGCGCTCGCACGGGTCTACCTGCCGTGGATACCGTAACGTCAAAGCTAGCTGCCCTGCGAAGAGGCGAAAGTCACGGAGTTTCCACCACCTTTAAACTGAGGAAAAATATTTAAAAACAACCAGTACACCTTTGGGACTTAATATCTGTTTTCATATAGGTATGGTTAGCCAGTAGGTTTGGACTGAGCACGACTATTTTCATTTATTTTTTGCGGCTTATCAAGTTACAGTAGGTGAAGGAGTCTTTTTTTTTTCCAGGAGACGTTGCGGGCTGCCCTGTGCCGGACTTCGTGCGTCGGAGCTGCGGACGCCCGCTGACCGTTGCGGTTCTGTGTGAACTTTTCAAGCTTCGTGTGGGGATGAGCGTTTTCCGTGCGGGCTTTACAACACGGTCAACTTAACGGAGCGGGAGCGGCACCTGAGCTCTCGCACAGCGGCCGCACTCTAACGCCGCCAGCTGCCCCCTTAACAGGTGCCTCACCTGCCAGGGTTACCTGTCCCTCAGCCGCGATGGCCAGCGAGGGGACGCCGCCTCCCAAGCCGCCAGGGGACGGCGGCAAGGACGGGCGTTCAGCCGCGCTGCCGCTCAACCCCATGATCCCCATCAGGGGTATTAGGATGAAGTTCGCCGTTCTGGCCGGCCTGGTGGATGTTGGGGACGTTACCAGCCGCGACATCGTGGAGACCGTTTTCAACCTGGTAAGCTTTAAATAGGCCTGACACTAACGCCACGTTTGGTTCCCCGCCGCCCACGAGGAAGTCAAAATGTAACCACATTGTCAGGTCGTTTTACCCCCAAAAAAGCCATAGGGGGAAACATGATATATTGGCATATTTGACTTAATTCTGTGCGTTCTGCGTGCATTAGTCTCAATTTGTCATGCTTTAGTCTTCAAATGTGTCACCTGTGATGAAGAGCACCACTGTTGGCAGTTTGTCTGGATTTTTTTTTTTTAACTTGCAGATCATATCACATTTGGGAAGTTCTAAAAATGAGTAACATGAACTGGATCCTTTTAAAATATTTATTTCCTGATGTGACCAAGCTCTAGTGACATTAGCTGCAAATGCTTAATCATAGTGGTCAAAGTTGTTGACGTAGGAGCTATAGGCCGGATTTTGAATTCTTGGTTGTCCTTGTCCTGCTTGCTTGTGATGTTTCTGGGTGACACAAATGCCCATCTTGCAATACTAGTTAGTCACAGTCTGATTAAAAGCTTACACAAGCTGGAACGCCTTGCGTGAATCCAGAACCCTGACTTACTTTATGGTACCTGTTTTGATGAGATGGTACTTCTGAGTGAGAGCATTGTTCTGTGCCTTTTGAAGGCCGGAACAATTGCAGTAAGTTTCATGAGGTGCTCTTAATGCAATCGCTGAGGCACTGCTCTGTTGCAAATGCCACATTAAAACCCGATTTGGGTAAAACAAAGTAAGTATGAGTATTTACATGTCCACACTGTTTCCAACACACTCACCCACATTACTCTCTGTGAGCTATGGTCTTTATTCTATGCACCAGGTAATGTTTACAGCTTGAATCTCTAAGTTAATTAGGGTGACTGATTTCATTTTTTTTCTCCACTACCGCAGCATAGCCAGTAGTATTCATTGATGAGATTTTTTTTGTTTGTTTAATAGATGGTAAAAGTTGATGACATTTGAGGCTGTATGAATGAAACTAACCAGGAAGTAGGGCAATACTTGTCTTGAGCCTGGGAGTGCATTGCCTAAACTCGCGGAACTGCTTTGTCACTGTGGCAGCGCAGTGGTGCCTCTGAAGTACGCTCGCAGTTCCATGCTGTCGCAGCGGCCGGTGACCCCCGCTGGAAAGATGGTGACATCCCCACCTCCTGTGAGATGACCTCCATCTGACGGAAATAGAAATGGCAATAGGTGTCATTGGGATGCAAGTGACTGGCCTAAGTTGGTTTCACCCAATTAAATTTAGTCCGGTCAGTGAAGGGGGGGGGGGGGGGTGGGTGTGGAGTATAAAAATTTAATTTTACTTTATTCCTTCAGGCTGGTGAAACGTAAGCAAGTGGGGCGGATAGCATTACTGAATATGAATTTTGCATGAAAGTTTTTTTTTTTTTTTTTCCTTCTTCTTCTTTTTTGGGTCTGCTTGTTGTCTGGTTCATTCAGCTACATGCCCACAGCAGCACAGAAAGTGTTTGTAGGGGAAATGTGAAGTTAAAAATGAAGGTTGGCTGTGTGTCTTCAGATGCCCCCCCCTGACACCAATGTTCTGAATGCTGCTGTGTTTTATTTTCTTTCTGTGTTTTCGATGTTAAACTTTTTTTTTTTTTTTTTTTTTTAATGGGTTGTTACTTCATGATTTTTAAACGGCACGTTTCATGCCTTAGTACCCTGGAGAGTGGGGTAATCCTAGTTTAAAGCAGGGGTCTGAACCTCTCCTGTTAAGGGCGGCAAATTAGCATGCGCTTTACGCCTGACCCACATTCTCCATGGTTGGCCGGAGTGGGGAATAATGGGTGTTTGCGGTAAATGACCCTTGCGTGCCATTTGGACAGCCGCTTTAGAGAGTGAACGGGACGGGCTTGTAGACTGGGACGTGCCGGTCACTGGAGTCAGATGTGGTTTCTCTTCTGAGTTTAAGATGCTGCCTATTCTGGTTTGGGAGCCTGCTCTGTAGCTTCTGCGGAATGTTTGCATATGACCCCATAATTAATCAAGTTTCTGTCCACGTCTGCCCACAGGAAGCGGGAGAGCTTGCTGGGTGGAAGGCCAATAGTGCCCCCCCCCCCAGTTTGGCAGGTTATGTGATAGGCCAGAAAAACGGCTTTGTTCTGGCTGTTGTTGAAACAAACTGAGTGGAAGAGTGACTTCTGCCTTTTTTTCCCCCTCAAAACTTCCTTCTTAATATGCCCTCGTGACCTTGGGCTGAACTTTAAATATTCATGGCAGGTGGATATTCGTCTGCTTAATTCCCTTAATTTCCATGTTTTGTTTGCTCTTATGATCCGAATCACTCCGGTGGATTAGCAACATTTCCGTCCACCTGTCATGAATATTTAAAGTTGAGCCCAATCGTTTGGCTTCTCCTGTGACAGAGCTGGGTGTCGCATATATCTGATACCACTTTTTTTTTTTTGTATAAATTGAGTCCCAGGGTTTTGTAAACCGCTGTTGAGAAGGAAGCACCTTTTCAAAAACGAAAAGGAATATATTAAAACCACAATTAGGGAATGAGCAGAATAGGGCTGTTTATTGTGATTGCGAATTGTCCATTGTTTGGTGATCTTGTGGCAGGTTGCTTTTGCTGAACCCGCTTGTCAGGGGAGAAACAGGGTGTTCCAAAGTGGAGCGATCCCACTGGCTTTAAATAGCACATATCTGCTCCTTACATCATGCATGTGCAACTTCTTTTGGAGGAGGAAAAAAAAAAAAACACTGCTGTCTGTGGTCACAAATCCTCTCTAATCTTCCAACTGAGTCAAGTCCTGTCTGCCTGAATCTGAGGGAAGTCAGAATCCTTCTCTTGCCTTTTCGTTCCCTTTTCTTTTACACACTACAGTGGTACTCGTTGATCTTATTGTCCTTTTTTGTTGTTGTTGTTCTCCTGCTTAAGGCTGTTTATCTAAATTTTGCCATTCTCTTCCTTTTGTAGATGGAAGCTTGTGGAAATTTGATACCCAGAAGTGTGGTGATGTTTTTCTTTTCCTTCCTCCCTCCCTCTCTCCCTCGTGTCCTTTAAAAGAGCACCAGGTTGGGTGGAAGTCTCAATTTTGTTCTGTGGGCCTCCGTTATTGCCTGCTTCTGAAAATAATTCGGTAGCCTGAATGGGGTTGGGTGTGGGGGATGTGTTTAAACTGCAGTCGAGCAGCGTCTGTCCTCTGCTAACCTTTTTGTATTGTGCCATTATTTGGCTGGGAAGAGATCAGATGATGCCTACTGCCTCTCAGGCTCTGGTTGTGCTGACAAACTTTGTGCCGGTCGGCCGTGTCGAGTGCCTTTAATGGCTGCCGTTTTGATTAGCGTCAGCTGCTGGATAAAAGGATGGTTTGTGTGCTGAGACTTATTTAAAGCTGGTCCTTTTTTCTCCTCTCTAATAGGAGTGTGTGACAGATCACCACAAAGACAGATGAGATATTTCTGCTGGTGGATTTGAGGAAAATGGCTTCAGTCACTGGCCAGTTTTACATTAGTATTTAAATCCTGCCTGGTTTCAGTATCTAAGAGATGTGAGGTTGTTTTCTGTAATTAAACCCCAACTTATTGGTTTACTAATAATAAGTCACAGATTTATTTCTTTATTTTGGGATTTAAGCACTCTAATGGGATCAATAACGTACCTATCATTTTAGTTAACTGGTAGCTTTTGTTTCTGGAAAAACTGACCATAGATGATTTCTGAACGCATGACCTGTACCTTCTAATACTGTGTGCCTGTCTCGGAAGTTAACACAGCCAGCCAAAGTGAATGTGTATGATTGTATTTTACAGAAGTTTAATGGCAGACATATGCAGAGCGATCTGAATTGCTGGTTGGCTAGTACATAAGTTTGGTTAAGAACCCAAATGTAGGTAATTGGCTGGGCTCTAATCTCTTAAACACAAGAAGGGCCTCATTTTTACCCTTAACCAGAGCAGTTCACCTAACTGGAGTCTGTAAATATCTAGTGGTTCACAGTGTGTAATACGAAATAAGTTTAAATCGTTTGACACTGGAAGTGTGAAGCCTCTGCTAACTAAATAATTAATAACTGCATTAATTAATAGCTGCTTCATTTTGAAAATTGTGTCCTAGAGCAGCGTCATTTGCATGGTGAGCATTCCTGCCGTTAAAGCAAAGGTTTGTTGGGCGAGATCTCGGTTTTTGAAAATGTGAGTAAAGGCGACATGAAATGCATGTCGCGGTTTTACATGGAGTAGCTGGCAGTGAAGATCATATATTTGGACTGACTTGCAGTTGTTGCTGCTGTTTTTTTCTTTATTAAACCCAATTAAAAGGAAAAAAAATGCAGAAATAGGTGAACAGGCAGCAGCCAAACTTGCAGAACGTTTTGCCTGGCTTGACCTTTGGAGCAGGCCCTGGCACACCTTCACGGCACATTCGCGACACCATCACTTCCTCAGGCCTTTCTGAGGACCATGTGCTGCTTGATGCTGGCATGCCATGCATGAGGTCTCTCCTTAGGCTCTTCCTGATGCAGCCCCCTCCAGTGTAAATATTACTGCTGCATCAGAACCAGGTGGTGTTGTACTCATCTGGATTCAGGAATATGCATTGTCTCATTCCCCTCCAGGCTGTCTTTGGATTTTTCTGAGAGGGCAGTAATGTTGCCACACGTAGTGAAAAATAGCAGTGCTGTTCTAAATGGGAGGGAATGGTCTTTTATGAGGATCCAGGAGGCAGTATGGGACATCACTGCACATTTCTTCATGTAGATTAGCTGCAAGGGGCCCCCACCTTCCTGTTAGTTTGCCACACGTGTAGCAGTTGGCATTGGTTGCGGACCTGGGAGGGACGCCCACTTCTGGAACGCTGATTGATTTTGGGAGAAGCCGAGGAACCTAAGCAGTCGTTAATGCTTTTCTGCAGCGTGACATCAGTGGAGATAATTCATCACGCCTTTCCAGCTCTGACTAACAGCAAATCGCTCAGTTTTCTGTGATTTGTGCCACGTGTTTCTGTCACGCACGTCTTCCACCTTACTGTTTGTATCTGTGCCCTTGATGGTTCTGGTAAAAAAGACACCCCACCCCCCCTTCAGAAGAGCCACCGACCATGACGTGCATCTTGCCCGCAATTTCATTTCATGTGCACGCCTGTTACAAATGATACTGCTGATTATCATTCCTTGTGAAGCGCGGGCATGCAGCCATGTGCACTTTTCCTCTGCCGCTGTGAGCTACCTGGTGCGATTTCCAGTGATGCTGACATGGAAACCACACGTGGGGTTACCGAGTTATGGGGGTGGCTGAGCCAAACTGTTCATCATGTGAACTTGCTGCTCTAAACTCCTACTTCATCTTGGTGGGTGGGTGGGTGGGGGAAATCATAGCGAGGCAAATTATTTTTTTGGTGGCCCTGCGGTTGCGTTTCCTCTTCCCTGCCACATTAGGTTGCCTTTCATGATCGGTGCTACGAGAGGTTGTTGTCCCTGCTTCATGGAGCCATTGTGGAGTGCTCTCCTGAGACTCTGCATCACATGCTGTTGTACCATGGCAACCCAGTGTAGGTAAACCGGGCCCTTAGTGACTGACCCTGGATCTGTGCTGATATCAAGGTCTGTTTACCTAGTTAATGTTACCACTAGGATCTTTATAACCATTATAAGGTCTTACTGTGGTAGTTGAGCATTCTGGGGAAATCCACCTGTAAGTAGATTAGGTAAAAGAATAAACCAAAAACATGGTAACATCAAAAGAGGATGTCTGTTTCCCATAATAACAGGTGACAGAAACTGACTAGTCTGCCAAATGTTGAAGAGGGGGGGTGTCCCAGTTTACAGATTTGCAGACTCCAGGAAACCTCTTCAGGAATTTTTTACTGGGGTGTGGCCTTGAAGACAGTGGAACTGTCTAAGAATTTGCTAGAAATGTGTGTGAGTGAAGGCCACACCTTGGGGAGAGCAACCTTTGACATGGTTCTGTTGACCCTTTCATGGAGATATGCAAATCCTGCTGGCCGTCTGGCTTAAAAAAAAAAAAAAAAGGGACACTAAGAAAATCTGTCAACGGTCTTATGTAAACAGCAAGCTGGCTGTTGCGCTTGTTAATGTGAAACGAAAACAATGGAAGGACAAGCAGATGGCGTTAAATCTGAAGTTCTGTGTAGCGCCTCGCTGTGGCCGAGCTCGGCAGTAACTGATGATGCATGCAGCTCCT